AACATTAGTCATATATTATTAAATCTATAATTTAATCAGAACAGAAATGGAATGTGAGGTATTTCTGCCTTCCCCAAAGGGAAAAACTTTGTCAAACCCAAAATACTGACAAACAAAAAAAAAATTAAATTCTGTATGTAGCATTAAAGATATTTTCCTCCAGATGGCTTCTAACCTATTGTGAATGACTTTAAATGCACTTTATTAATGATATGAATTTCTAACAGATGTTATTTTAACAATAACTTACATTATTGAACACCAAAAAAACCCAAATCAAAAGATAAGTGCAATATAAGAATTTTTGCTCCTGGGTGGAGTTACATAGTAGCAAAGGCTTGAAGTCATTACTTGCTAGATTATAGCCTGGAAGAAAAAGTGCAGTTAATATATGGTTTCAAAAGGAAAATTATCTCCAAACATTATAAAACGATTGTAAACAACTTTAAACCCCCCACTTTTCTACTAAGATGAAATATAATTCTAAAACTCAGCTGTCAGGTTTGAATCCTGGATATTTAATTCGTAGTACTGACCACACTGTATGGGTAAGATGCATAAAGGTATGAAATATTTACAGAGTCAGACCTGCTAAATTGACTGTGACTCCAGTTAAGCTGCAATGTTTATAAAACATTCAACTATCAATCAAGTCAATCTCATGCAGAAATAAATCAGGAAAGAAAAGAAAACAGAAGAGAAATTACAAACACCTTAAAATGAACACACATTAATTTAGGAAAAAAAAAAAAAGAAAAACCAAAAACCAAAACCTAGAAAACCTCACAGAGACATCATAGGGCAAAAATCCCAATCCCCAAACTACTATTTTCCCACAAATTAATACATTATCTGCAAACTGAAAGTTAATTAAACACACATTCTACTTTAAAACCTATTAACCCAAATTATTTTAATAAATGCTAAACCAAACCATTAGAAGTCAAAATCAAGAACAGTTTAAAGAGACAAAGACTAAACCTATAGTTAAACTTCCCCCATACTGTCCTTACTTGAGTTTAAAGACAATAAGCATTGCTTTAAAAATAGGCAAAACATCCAGTAAGTTCGATCTATATTGTAACTTTTTCCAAAATGACCAAGGCTAGGAAAGATTGATTGCCACAAAAATATGTACAGGGATCTTTCCCCCACACCCAGATTCAAAGTTATATCCCTATAATTTTGAAAAACCCTTTACAGTCAAGAAAGAAAACTTAACAGTTGGATGCCAACGTCATTATTAGGAACACAGTGTGAACAGCGCATAGCACCAGGAATGAGTTGAAAAATAGTTTACTGGGGCACAGCAGCTTATCTTGTAATTCTTCTTAGTTTTATACCAAGACTCTGGACTTCATAATAGGATTAAACACAAACTTATCAACAGTTCAAGTGTTTCAAGTCTTAACATAAACTTCTGACACTTTGCCAAAAAAAGTTATGGCCCCTTTAAAAATGACATTTAAATAATAATTTTGATATTAACTAACACTATTATTCTTTAAATAATAATTTTGATACTGTCTTATCTTCAAAACAATTACTTTGTAATCATCCAAGGTGGAATCTAAGTCCTTCTGTATAACATTTTGTATAACTTTTTGTAATATGATTTTGCTCTTTCAATTTTGGCATTTTCTAAAGAAAAAAAAGTCTGCTTAAAATTTCCACAAAAAAATTCTAGTTTTGACTTTGACATAACATAACTTTGACATACAGAAAAAATCCAAACCCCAAACCCAGACCTGCTAAAACATACATTTTTAATTTGATTTCTGAGGGACAGCTGCTACCACCATATTCTTACATTAAGACCACAAACCAAATTTAAACTTCTTCTGTAAAACAATAAAGGAATTTGAATTTATATAATTAGTAAAGCTGAGAAGGAAAAAGAGGTAAGATGAATATAAATTAATCAATGTGGCAAAAATACAAAATACAAACCCACAAATACCAACAGAAAAAAAATGTTTCAAGAAAGACTAGCAACTTACAGAGCAATATTATTATTTATATAGTGAGTTTAAAATTAACTTAATGACTTTTTCCTTTATTTTGAAGTTACATATAATGGATTTATCACTATATTTAGAGATCATGTTTTTACCCAAATATCTTTTAGCTTTGTATATGGAAAGTTCTGAACTGTAAGATTTGCAGAGTAACAACAAAGCAAAAGGCAGCTGAATAAGACGTTTTTGTGTACTTCAAATTAAGATAATACTTTCATTTTTTTTCCAGGTAATCATAAGGATCTTTAGAATGCTTAAGTAAGTAATTTCATAATAAACTCTCTATTCAGAATTAATGAAGAAACACCTAAAAATAATCTAAGTATGTTATTTAGGCATGCTGTTTGTTTCTCCTCTTCCTCTTCACGTGCCCCAAAATTAATACAGGGTACACACACTTCACTTTATAGACAACTTCAAAATGTCAAAAGCCAGCTAATTTATAATTATTTGAACTTTGTCTTGACATTTACACTACAATCTGCAAAACAGTCAAATATGTTAACTTGTCTTAACACAGGTGTAGAGCATAGGAAACAGGTAACACTCTGCAAAATACCATAAAGACATTTCATCTGACAAAATAAAGCCATGGGAGATGTAGTAGAAGATTACAAGCAACTAAGATGAGAAGATTAGGAGCAAAAAGTAGTAATAAAATAAAACAAACATTTAGAGGCAGGCTAAGCATGCAGAACAAGCAAGAGAGAGTGTACGTGAAGAAGAGACAACTTACATGGCTGTTGAGAAGAGAGCTTCTGTGAGTGGACAGACCATCAGACTTTTGCAGTGTCTCAATCGCCATTTCAATCTGATAATAGATGTCATTAAAAAAAGGACTCAAGACGAGATAGTAAAAAAGCCTGATCAGAGAAGTTTTGACAGACTGCTTACAGATCAATAGAAATGCCTGCTTTATTCCTGGCTAGGGCATACGTTCTACTAAAAGGTCTTATTCCAGAGTCCCAGTGAACACAAACCTCCCCATTGAGGTCAGAAAGGCATTTTGCTTCCATATATACTGCAGGATCACAGCCTCAAAGTCCATTTTGCCTTCCCGCCTGCTCAGGAAATTCAATGAGTAGATTTACTGGTGAGCTGCACTAAACCAAAAATAACCCTGACTGAACAAAAATATAACTAATTAAAAAAAAAAAAAAAGCCTAAACAGAATTTTAAGAAAGGCTTGCATATGTTTTCCCTCCAACTATATCAGAAAGAGACATGCACAGCTTGCACTAAGAACTGAATTAGAAACAAAAGTTCAGCTCTCTGGAATCACAGAATCAAATCCCAGACCCAAATAATTCAATAGGTTTTCCACCATTAGCTTCACTGGGACAGGACATCACCCTTACTGCTGCCAGCACCCTTTGAATATCCCCAGCTGTCAAAGTAAATGGAAAGTCAGAAGTTATACAGACTGCAGGATCCAGCCTTTGGAAAAGCAGATTTGTTCACAATACTTTTGCCTTTTAAAAGGAAAAGAAAACACAGCACTACTAAAATACAAGTAGTATTTCTTCAAATGCAAAGGTACAAATACTCTCACATCCATTCCCATTCTTTTTTAATATCAGTGGATATTTTGATCAGTTTGATAACGACAGCATTAAAGAAAAAAAATTAGAACCTAATTGTAATTTAACGGGGGAGGTAGAAGAGTAAAAACAACAATGAAAATGAAAGACACAATGGGATGCACAGTAAGAAAAGGCATGCAATTAATTAGCTACATTAAATGGCCAAAATGAAAGCAATGGAAACCACCACTTACACTTTTAAAAACACTTATCATTCTCCATGTACACGTTTTTAATGAGCCCTTCCTATCCTACTTCAAATATCACAGTACTATCCATAATTTTAGTGGCATAATTTATCAACATCGACTGAATTCACTCTCCATATAGCAGAAACTGAAAAATAATACAGTTGATACTTGAATTTACTGTACATGTAAAATTAGCTTCTCCCTTTTTTACAGGCAACTGACAAGTATTTTATTGTAATAACTGGGAGGAATCACTTCTTGTTTCTCTCTTGCAACTGTTTAATATTAGCTATACAAGTCTTTTTATAAAAAGTACATTATTAAAAATACACAATTACTATGTAAGAAAACATACTCTTACATGGTAATAATTTTTTTTTTAATATTCTGATTTCTTCTTGCTTCAGTGGAAAATATTATGAGGTCAAAGTATTCAATCACACAGGAAAGATCAAATTTTAAAAGCATGCTGCATGACAAAAATGACAAGCTTGAAGTATCATCATAGTGATGTCAACTTACTATATACCATAGCCATAGAATTTCCTTTCTTAACATAATGCTACAATCAAACAGTGAAGACCTTATACACATTTAAATCCTAATTCTGAATCTTAGGTTACTTGTTCCACAATGCTTAGTCCATAGCACTGAAGTTAATACCTCCTGCTGCTCATTCCCACTACTGCACTACTTTCATTTTATTGCTGCAACTTGTGGCCTTGTTTAGAAAACCAATCTGTTAAAAAGCAGTAGCAATTGCACTTAAAAAGAAAAGTGGCATTACAGATGACACTCATTCCTCGCTGCCATATTGCTTCAATGCCTTTTGCTGCTATGCAATGAGCCAAACAAAGAAACTGTTTCTTTTTTGTCATTTGGGGGATTTTTGTTGCTGGAGTTTCTTTCAGAAGTAGATTTCACGAGTCTGGCCATTGAAGACAACGAATCTGTGTTCACTTTTACTGCATAGCATAAGCCAAGCAGTGTTGGTCACCACTAAAACATGTTAATTACTTCATCAAGCTCAGAAAGATATATGATCTATACTTAAAATGAGTTTTCATCATAGTCTACTAGGGCAAGCTTCCCAAGAGAAATTGTTCTCACTACTAATTATTTTATTATTTCCAGTCTAAATTTTGATAATAGGAACTTTCAGATTTATCTGACAGATACATATCTCTTTAATGACAGAAACCTTCTTCCTATGTAGGCTATACAATCACTTCTTAACTATTTTTGAGCATAAAATATGTTTGATTTGAAGATAGATTTTCTAAACACTAAATCATTCATCTTGCCCCTTCTGAAAATTTCCAGCTACTTCTTGTTTTCCTGTATTGGTGTTCCTCAGAGCTCAATTCTAGAGCCAGTTTGGTTCAGTATTTTTATCAATGACCTGGATGCAGTAGTTGAATGCACCCTTATCAAGTCTGCTCCAAACTGGGAGGTGCTGTTGACGCTCTTGAGGGATCAGAGGCCTTGCAGAGGGATCTGGATAGACTGGAGCATTGGGCAATCATCAATGGCATCAAATTTAACAAGACCAAATGCTGCATTCTGCAGCTGGGACAGGCACAAGTCTGAATTGGGAGAGGAGTGGCTGGAGAGTGGCCCTGCAGAAAGGGATCTGGGGGTGCTGGTTGACAGCAGGCTCAACATGAGTCAGCAGTGTGCCCAGGTGGCCAAGCAGGCCAACAGCATCCTGGGGTGCATCAAACACAGTATGACCAGCTGGTCAAAAGAGGTGACCATCCCACTGTGTTTAGCATTGGTGCAGCCTCACCTCAAGTACTGTGTGCAGTTGTGGGCCCCACAATTTAAGAAGGATGTGAAAGTCCTTGAATGCGTCCAGAGGAGGGCAGCAAAGCTGGTGAAAGGGCTGGAAGGCATGTCCTGTGAGGAGCAGCTAAGGACTTTGGGCTTGTCTAGTTTGGAGAAAAGGAGACTGAGGGGCGACCTCATTGCTCTCTACAGCTTCCTGAGGAGGGGATGTGGAGAGAGAGGTGCTGAGCTCTTCTCCCTGGCGTCCAGTGATAGGATGTGTGGGAATGGTTCAAAGCTGCATCAGGGGAGGTTTAGACTTGACATTAGGAAGCATTTCTTTACCAAGAGGGTGGTCAAACACTGGAACAGGCTTCCTAGAGAGGGGGTCGGTGCCCCAAACCTGTCAGTGTTTAAGAGGCATTTGGGCAATGCCCTTAATAACATGCTTTAACTTTTGGTCAGCCCTGAAGTGGTCAGGCAGCTGGGCTAGATGATCATGCAGGTCCCTTCCAACTGAAATATTCTATTTTATTCTATTCTTTTATTCCAAGCTTTTGGGTTTTCCAGATGATCTATGTGACACAGAGTACTGTGTGCACAGGAACTAACGGCTATGTGAGTACAAGTTGTTTGTGTGAAGGATCTTTTCCTTCAAGCTTTTTTTAAATTCTAAGTTTTAGCCAGGGACTTTTATTTAGGTTCTAGAAAAACTGAACATAATTTCATCTCTATTCAAAACAGCATTTAAGCAGATACACAGATTAATTACATAGGTAATGCAGTGTGTTTTATTATAATTTGTAGAAAGAATATGAAAATAATTTTAACATTTACAATTATATTCTGCATAAATACAAAAGGAAGATTGTGACCCTTTCATTTTTAGCAATAAGCAGTGAGAGATTCCAGGCACAACTACCTACATATACATCTGAAATGCCAAATGACAACAGGAATTACACATTAATTTATTTGCGTATATAATCAGTCATACATTTCTCCTTCTCTTAACAAGACTAAAAACATTATTTATTAAAACATTCTGACTGATAACTGAAATGTACACTATCACGCCTACTGCAACTCCAACTAAACCATGTTAAATGTTACACTACTGGTACGAATGATAATCAGTTTGTACAGTAACATAAACATGGACGGACACTAAATTAGAGCATGATAGCTACAGAAACCATAATTGTAGATTTCTCCTTCAATTTACTTTGTTTGCCAACTAAAATACTGCCTTATACTCTGACACAGTTGTTAATGATTAAGGGTATTTCCCTGGGATTAAAAAATTCAACAGTTTGATCCCAGTATATGCATCTGGAATCCTACAATGTTCAGTCTTTATGTGATCTACTGATTTGGACGATATTAACTGTTCTTGCTAGTTTATGTCTTAGTGTTCATTGACATGTTACTAGATAAACAAATAACACATAGTAGTCTCAGATGTGTAAGAACAGACATAGCAAATACCTACACAAACCCACTTTGAAAAAAAAAAAAAAAACTGCCTTCCTTTTAGGAAGAAGAAGGAAATAGTACTTTTTCATGATTCAACTAATAAACTAATGATTCAACCAATTAACACAAAGTATTTATAGTAAATTGTTCTGAGGAGGTCAGGACATAAAGAAAACAATCCTCAGAAGTGTAAGTCCTGAGTTTTTGCAATTAATCTGGACATCTAAAACTGCATTTTCTTTATCTGTTTGCATCTGCAAACCACCCTCCACCAGCAGAAAAGCAGGCAACTTTGGGTGGTATCTTAAAATTCAATATATAGTTGCATCATGTTCAAAAAAGATAGCTCCTGTCTATCTCCACAGGCACCTCCTGTTCACAATGCCTTTTATCCACTTCCAAAGGTTTGCTCCTTTAGGCTTCAAAGGAAGTGAAATTCTAAAGGAGCTTTCATCACATGCTCCATTACGAAGGCATTACTAATTCATCATATGTGTACAAGAAAGATTAATTTGGTATAGCTAGCTAAGTCCTGGGTACTTGTGACAACTCTGCTTACCTAAATAAGGTGGACACACGTCATGAACTAGCCTGAAGCTACAGGATAAATAGACTCAGGGTTTCTGGAAATGTGACGCTTTCATGCTTTTAGGACACCACAAATATGCATTATTTATGGTGGCTTTCAGTTCTGTTTCAGGACAGGGTATTGATGCATGTTGTACGGTGTTCTGAAACTTATGCCACACAAGCTTGCCCAGGAAGAAGCAGCTTGAAAATGAAATAGTATTGAC